GACGATTTCTGTGCTGAATTGTGAAATAAAGTCCAGTTTATGGAGCTGTCTGGGGGATGCTTTTTCAGCGCGCTGAGCAAAGTCGTATACCAGTGGGCGATGATCAGTTTTGATGATGAACTGGCGTCCTTCCAGCTGGTGACGAAAGAACTTTATTGCAGCGAAAATCGCTAGCAGCTCGCGATCGTAGGTGCTGTATCGCGTTTCGGTGGGACTCAACTTGCGGGAAAAAAAACCTATGGGCTTCCAGCAGTCGTCGATCAGCTGTTCAAGTGCAGCTCCAATGGCGAAGTCCGAGGCATCAGTGACGAGTGCGAGATTTGCAGAGGGTGAGATGAAGCTAGTACAAGTCGCTTTGACAATGCTTTCTACACAGTCTTGGTAGGCCTTCTCTGAGCTGGGTGTCCAAGGGATGGGCCGTTTGTCTTTTTTCTTGGCACCCTTCATAAATGCATTGAGAGAGGCTTGAAGTTCAGCGGCCTTTGGAATACAGCGACGGTAATAATTGAGCATTCCCAAAAACTTACGAAGGTCAGAGATGGTCTCTGGTTTGGGGTAAGAAGCGATGGCTTGGATCTTGGAATCAGGTGGTTTGTATCCGAGCTTGTTGATGGAGTAGCTGAGGTACATAACTTCTGACTTGTTGATTTGGCACTTGCTGAGGTTGATAGTGAGTTTGTTCTCACGCAGTACATTAAAGATTTTGCGTAGATGTTGCAGATGTTCCTCATGGGAATCCGAGAACACTATCAAGTCATCAATGTAGCATGCTGCGAAGTCAATACCACGGAGGAGGTTGTCCATATGACGTTGAAATGTCTGAGTGGCATTGCGCAGGCCTGGAGGCATACCCAGAAACTCAAAAAGCCCAAAAGGAGTAGTTATCGCTGTTTTGGGTATGTCCTCTGGTGCTACAGGAATTTGGTGGTAAGCTCGAACCAGGTCAATGACAGTGAAGACACTTTTCCCATGCAGCCGCTGAAAGATGTCTTCTGGTAGTGGTATGGGGTACCGATCTGGCACAGTCTGGGAATTGAGCCTCCTAAAATCACCTGTGGAACGCCATCCACCTTGCTTTTTCTGGACCATGTGTAGAGGACTGGCCCATGGACTGCTGGAGGGACGGATAACAGCATGATGCAACAGGAGGTCGAAATCCTCTTTAGCAATCTTTAGTTTCTCTGAGTTTAGCCAACGTGGACGGTCATTGACTGGCGGTCCAGTGGTGACTATGTGGTGATGAGTTCCTGTAGGGGCGTCCACTGATGGGGCTGACCTTGGACGGGTGATGTCAATAAACTCTTCCAGCAACTTGCTATAGGGTTGACTGAGTGTAGGTGGTGCATATTCTGCATTATTGACAGTGGAAACAGTATGAAGTTCGGTTTCATGCATTTTAGCAGGAGAAGACAGTGAGGTGAGAGAGTCCAGAAGGCGCTTGTGCTTTAAATCAGGAAGGAGGCCATGATGTGAAAGCAGGTCGGCACCTATGATTGCTGATTTGGCGTCTGCAATGATAAATGCCCACTTGAAGGATCTGCGGAGTCCAAAATTGAGGTTAAGAAAGTGTTGACCATACGTTTTGATAACTGTTGCATTGGCTGCATATAGCATGAGGTCAGCAGGCAGAAGTTTTCGTTGAAAGAAGCTTCTTGGAATCAAGGATACAACGGAACCACTGTCGATAAGGAACTTCATGCCAGTGACCTTGTCTATGACGTGCAGGCGACTTTCTTTAGATGGGAGGCAGGTGCTGTTGACATTGCTGTCGCTTACCACCTGAACAGGCGACAGCATATTTAGTTTTCCTGGCGCGGAGATGCTAGTGGCAGCTGAGACACATTTTTGGGCCCGGACACCGAATTTTCGATGATATCGGCATTCTCCAGAAGTGACAGAACGCTCACGTGGTTGTCGACTGGTAGAGGTGAGACTCTGTCTGATGGCAGAAGTGAGGTCCTTCTGAGCAATGGTTAGTTCTGTGATGGCTTGTCTGAGTTCGTTCAGCTCGGAGGCTACTGAAGAACCATGTCCATGCTGGCGAGAGCTCTGGTTGACGGCCATGACACTGCCACCAGGGATGTTTGTCATGAGCTCATCAGCTGCAGCAGCTAGTTCGTTAAGTGAATTGGCCTTGAAAATTTTCAGCAAGTGCTGAATGCTGACAGGCAGAAGGGCCAGCCATCGTATGCGGAGCACGTCTTCTGTAGCACGATTGCCGGCAAGGGCTCGCATTTCACGAAGCAACTGTGAGGGTTTTCGGTCACCTAGTTCTAGATCAGTGAGCAGTTTGTGCATCTGAGAGTCTTCGGAGGCTGTTAGTCTACTTATTAGGTTAGACTTGAGATTTTGGTACTTATCTTGAGGTGGTGGAGCCTTCAAGATGTCTGCAACTTCCGTGATTGTGTCCGGGTCCAGTGATTTTACCAATTGATAGTACTTGGTGCTATCGGACTGTATACGGTGGGCTTGAAAGACTGATTCAATCTGCAGGAACCATAGGTCTGGATGAGAACGCCAAAAGGGTGGCAGATTGCAGTTGTAAACTGCGTCAATGGCATAACTCTGCTGCTGGTTGAGCATCATGGGGGCTGGCAACGAATTTACTACTGGTTGGGCATATGCTTGCTGATAGCTCACCGGGTGATTTGTTGGATTAAAATGCACCGCGGGATCAAATGCTGTACTGCCGTGAGGGCCAGAAGGTTGAGGCATAGGAATACTCACTGACGAACTCCTGTCTGGTTGCTGGTTGGTAAAAGAGCTGTTTGCAGCCAATTGCTGATCAGGATCTACTGAGGAGTCGAAATTGCTTTGCATCTTGATTTTTTTAGTAGTCAGACACGTCTTTTAGGTTAGAGGCCGAGTGGTACGCGGAGATATATCACGTCGGGGTCACCAGTTATAGCTACTACTGCTATGTGTTTGCTTGATATATCACCAGCGAATGAAAACACTGTTTTACTAATAACTCGGTTTAATTCTGGGCACTGAACATACAAATAAATCGAAATACTTTATTTTGTTAACAACAACAACACGATATCATAATTGCGCGGCAACAAGCTGACTAGAAGTAAACAACAACCTGGGACAGCTGTCTTCTGTCACGTCACGTCAGGCCGCCAGGGTTGTACACAATAGTTGAGCCATCCAGGGTTGAACACAACGGACTCGCGGAACAATGACGCCACAAAAACTTACAGTGACTCTATTACCCACAGTGGCGACAATTGCTGTCTTATTTTTGATTGGTTCTAAAATCCCATATATTTGTATTGAAAACGCGGCCATCTTGTTCCCACCTATTGCTTATTTCAAATATGAATATATGGGATTTGGGTGAACATCCATCATAAAACATGGAAAACGACGTATTTGATGGACCTAATAATATAGTCATCAAATACGTCGATTTCAATTTTTTATGATAGATGTCCATTTAAATACTATATATTATTATTTAAAAGTAACAAGAGGTTGGGAACAAAATGGCGGCGGTACCTCTATTGTCGCCACTGTATGTAAAGGTTTATTTAGCCACTGTATAAAAACTGAAGTTTAAATCGCGTTAACTTAAGTTTTGTCGAACTTATTTGGAGCAAGAAGGTGTTAACTCTCTATAATTGTGCAAGAAGGGGTTAACTACTAGAAAGACTCCGAATTGTTTAAAAGTTACCTAAAGTTTGGGACGAAGAATAATTATTATGGAAATAATGAATGATAAAGAAGAATTTTTACTTTTTTCATTATTATACATTGTCAATAGATGGCGCCACCAGTTAAAAAAATTGATTTTTTTTTTTTGAGTGTTGGCAGCACTCTGTTTAAAGCTTTTCCATGGTAATTTCGCGAAAAACAATAATTTTATTACAAAAATTACCTCAAATTGTTATTAAAAGTTAATACCTAAAGTTTGGGAAAAGGCATTATTATGGAAATATTGAGTGATAACGAAGAATTTTCACTAACACCTCCAGAAATTACAGAAAGGGCGACAAATGCAGGTAATAATATACTACCGGACAAAACCAAGAATTTACGAAAAATATATGCACAATTTATGGATTGGAAACACCAAAAACACATCATCCTTCTCAGAAAATGTTTTGATAATATATTTTGAAGAATTATAACAAAAAATTAAACCTTCAACTGTGTGGATTTACTCAATTATAAAAAAATCTCTATTCAAACTTAAGCATAATGTTGACATATCTAAATATCATAAGTTTTATCAATGGCAGTAGAAAAAATAGTGTATGCAACTCTCATGACGTAATGGCCATTAGTACACTCGCATGTTATATACGCAACTCGCCTGCGGCTCGTTTCGTATCCTACAACATGCTCGTGTATTAATGGCTATCATTACATGATCATTGCATAATATACTATTAGATTTTAATAAAATAGTTTTTTGAAATCTAAGTCTCTGATTTGGAAACATATTTGGTATTTTGATAAGGATAAGGTACCTATACCAAAGCAAGTTTGTAATTTTATTTTATTGAAATCAAGCCATAAAATATATGGGCACTATGATTTTTTTGAAAGATTTTGATTAGATATATATTTTTTTTCAATATTTAGGAAGTAGGTATACGTTTTCTAGAAAAATAACCCCAAAAAGTTTGTCAATAAAATCAAACCGGCTACCCGACCGAGACCGACATAAAGCGAAAGCCCATTTTTGGCAAAACGAAAACTAAATTTATTTCAATGAAAATGAATCAATTAATTTGGAGGAGGTATAAAAATAGATGCCTAAAATTTGGGTTGTGTCGTGTGGGTGTTTTTCCACCCTTTCTCTCTCCCTTGAAGCAAAAGCAAAGAAGAAAGATAAATTATCATATGTATTCATTCAGTGCATTGAATCCGGCTGCATGTTCTCGACACGACAGTCAAATTTAATTTGTCTTCCCTTCTTCGAAAATTCTCTTCGAGAGTCGAGTGTCGAGTCGCGTTCGGTATCCAATTATTTTCAGTCGATAGAGAGATTTCGTTGTTCGCGGATTCGCCGTAGTAGACTCCGGACGAGTCGAGTATCGAACGGTTTTCGCCGGCTACACTCACAGACAATACAAAACGGGGGTGGTGTTTCCTGCTTCTCTATAGGGGTGGATTTTTGTTTAGGGTTGCACTTTACTGGAGAATATTTTGTTGATATTTGAAGGTAAGTGATTACTTTGTTTATAATTAAGTTTTTTGTTTGAAAATTTGTGCCGAAAACTACCCCAAAAATTTGGTACCGTACCTACCCATTATAACTACGTACACCTACTCTAAAAATTTTTAAAATCGATTTGTATCAAGGGTAGAATATTAAATAATACTTAACAAAGTTTCCCCTTTTCAACAACACGTAGGTATTTTCGTATAGGACAGGTAAACTATGAGGTAGGTACCAAATAATACAAAGTCAATTCAAAGTCGGGAACATTTGCGGGTTGGTTAGGATCTTAAAAATTCCAAAAAAAATCTAATGAGAATCATGAATTATGTGATATTTCGGAAAAATCTTCTATATTATCAGAATAGATATTATATGTTCTATTAAAATATTCTTGAAATACCTTTCATTATAGTAACTTTGTTATTGAGCTTAAAGTTAAAAGAATAGCTACAAAATTTTAAAAAATTTCATTCGGTAAAAAGTACAAATAACTTAAAAAAGACTCATAGACATGATATCAAAATTATTTCAAACATTCATATTTTATTTCAATCTAAAATGGTACCTACCTATCTGAAAATCTACCTATTGAAAAAAACTGCCGGTCAATCAAATTCTCAAATTATGGACTGAATCAAACTAATCAAAGACTAAATTCAAATGCAAATATTTTTGGAACGGAAGCGGAAGAGAAATATCAACCTAAAGATTTTATTTGGTTGACTCTTTGAAAACACATACAATGTACCTATTCATGATTTCAAAATTTTTCTTTTCCTGCTTTTACCTTTTATTCCTGAACAGAGAACAGGGTGGTCGTGGTCAAAAGAAACTACGATTTGTTTCCAAATTTTGCGATGTTGCCAAACCTATAATTTTTGGGTAAATATTGCTATCCATTTTTTTCAGTAATTTTTTCACAAGAGACTGAATTTTTTCTTTAATTTGGCATATATTCAGTTAAGTATTTTTGATTCAAGGAATTGTTTCCATGATAGGATTCTACATTATGGATAATTGTCAACATTTTCCCTTTTACACCACTATTACAGGGTGGTCAAAAGAAAATACGACGTTTTCAAATTTTGCGATGTTGCCAAACCCACAGTTTCTGTATGTGTGAATATTATTACTATTCATTATTTCAATCCAGAAACTGTACCTGGGAAAATAATTCCACAAATTTTTGATTTCCCAATCTATCAATTTTTCCACAAGAGGTTGTATTTTTGATTCAAAAAATGTTTTCAAAATAACATAGTACTTAAGTAAAAAATAATTGTCAAAAATTTCTCTTTCTCGCCTTTTACAGTGTGATCAAAAGAAACTATACGACTTGTATCCAAATATTGTAATGATGCCAAATCCCCAATATTTGTGTATAAATATTACAATCCATGTATTTTATTCCATGTGTACTTTTTTATTTTTTTTCCCATTTTGACGTTTAAAAATGACATTATTCAACGCATAATAACAAAGGTAAGTAGACATTTATCACCTCAATGATTTAAGATATTTTTAACTCACTCTCGGTCTTTTAAGTCACTCTGCCAGTATAGAATTAGCTACAAATACAAACAACTAGTTATACCCTAGCAACCACCAATTTCAATATTAGACGCTTTCATATGCTACTAAATGAATTCTTTTTATAATTTGATTCCTATTTTTTTTAAATGTACATCAAAATGGGATAAAATTTTGTATACGTCACGTGAGTTAAAATGATTATTTATTCGAAGAAAATTAACCCACTCGCTAGGGCTCGTGGGTTAAACTTTCTTCTCATGAATAAACATTCATTTAACTCACTTGGTGTATAAATAACTATTATTTCTAATATTTAATAAGAAAATAAATTGAAAATTGGAGTGACGCTACATTAGTTAAATGACAAGTGACAATGTACATTTTAAAACACAAAAGACATCTGTCAAATTTTAACTTCAGTATTGCCAAAGTAAAATAATGAATCATGAATCATACAAACTTAAAATACGAAACATACACAGGCGTTAATTTTAAATATATTAAATAATAAATTTATTTTAACAAACTGCTCAGTACGTTTTTGTTTGCATTTTAATAACAACTTTTGTAGTTGTTTGCTGTGTCTTTTCGACTTAATTATTACCACCTGTCTCGCATTATTTCGAATAACCCAACTGAGACTATTATTGTTTTTTTAGAGATATTACAGATGGCATTATATCATGTTCAAAACTCGTGAAATAACAGTATCTTGGCCCAGAAACCGAAAACTGCATGCCTGATTATTTTTTGACCAGTTCCAGTTATCAATACACAGAATCAATACCTATTACAAAGATTTTTGACAATATATTTTTTTTAATAATCATACTCTAATTATTTTCAATTGGCATTTAGGGTCACTTTCACTATGAATATAAAAATATAAAAGAACAATAAATAATGAAACAACAGATTCCGTTTAAAAAAAAAAAAAACAGACCATACCTATCATATCCCCAAATCTAATTTAAATAGATCCTAATATTGTAAACATTATTTACGAATTATTTTAGCACAAGGAATTTAGTATTTTAATATTTTACCAAAAATGCAGTGATAGGTTCTGGTTCTAGTGTTATTTGTTTGTGATTTGTTTATTGATTTTTATAAGGTAAAATTTCTATCCACTATTGCTACCTACCGTACTATTATTATATAATAGAGAGATATCGGTAAAACAGATAGCGCCTATGGACGATAATAACGTCTGGAGTTATTTTTTTAAAGTAAAGCGGTACATACTTTCAAATTAGAGTTATCGGAAAACAGTTCAACATAAAATTTGCCTGTTCGCATCCGTTATTTTATAAACGTAGCCTAATTTGTACCTTGTTGTGATTTGATTTGTGTTGTCTGTTGTTCATGGTCAGAGACAGAGGATTTGCTTTTTTTACTATTTTTTGAACAATCCATATTCACTTGAACACAACAAAAATAATGAAATAAACAATAAACATAACATAACCTATATTATTCCACGGCGTTATTCGAAATAGCACTTAACGTAAATGCGTGGTAAATTACGTTATGCGGTAACGTTATTTTAGTACGTAGTGTTAAAAATCGAATCGCGCATAGGTTTAATGTCAAAATAACGTAAGCGCTAATACTGCATGATACTTTTTGGGTTACCGATATCTCTCTAGTAATAGTACGGTAGGTAGCAATAGTGGATAGCATTAAAAAATGCTCTCGTTTTGATGGTGTACTAAAAGTAAAAAACCCTTTTTATCTTATACTTTATGTTTATACAGGGTGTTTATATACCAAGTGTCCCACTAAGGTCGGCCAGGTACGATATTATGGAAACCATAGACCTTACGGCTTCGGGATTTTTTTTTCTTCTCTAAATCGGCCGAGAGAAATTGATGGAAATTATTTTCAAGTTTCTAGGATGACCGCTAGGGGGCGACATTACGATGATATAGCTAAAAATTCAACTTTTCTCAAGAAATCGCTGTATTAAGATACTGTTTTAACAACAGAAATCAAAAGTTCATTAATTTTTTCGCCAGTTTGGTTATTATGCTTTTTTTCGTATCTTCAGTAATAAGGGTGGGGGAAGCTGGTGAAATTTTTTTTTTTAGAAATTGCTGTATCTTCCATACCCCTCATTCAAACTCATTCAATTTGGGTTTATTTGGAAGAGAATTTCATTGTTATTAAGAACACCACTTCGTTCGAGGTCGATAGTTCCCACCGCGTCTTCTAGAGGGCGCTGTTTATTCAAATTCCAGTTTTTTCTAATTTTCATGAAAAATCCAAATGGCATAATATTATTTTTGTATTGCTGTGCTTAAAGAGCAAAAAAATATCTACATTTTGGCGCAAACCGCAATTCAATATCTGCATTTGTTTTCAAGTTACGTAAGGTTTATGGTCTCCATAATATCGTACCTGGCCGACCTTAGTGGGACACCCTGTATATATATTGTCACGAAACGTCTGTGTAGCTCGACTATTCACCCTGAAAAGCAGAACGGGAAGGGAGGAGTAACAGGGAAACACCAGAACAGTTTTAAATAGCTAATATATATTGTTACAGGACGGAGATTACGGAAACATGAATATTTAGTTATTACCACATCATCGTCATCTGGGCCCAGATAGGGCGGACAGTCAAACGTCGGGTATACCCCTGCAAGGCTAAACAACCAAACCAGCCCTACAGGAAAATCTAGAAAGCCTTTTCACTGTAGGTCAAAGCCTGGGTCGTCAGAGAGTATCTGCCCTGATAGAGATACGATAGCGTATTAACTTTATCAGTCCAGATAGTTCCCCAACTTTGAGTCGTCTCTAAACACCTACTGATTGCAGCGAAGCGCTGAGACACGACTAATTTGCCATAGTGTGGCCCGGGCTTTTATATCCAATATTTGCCGACTATGATTAGGATAATTTGTGTTTTCTTGCTTAGTTGCAGTTATTTGTTATAACCCGTGGTTCAGTGTTTTGAATTTGGTTATAGCCCGTGGTCCCATGTAGGGTTGACAATATATATAGTAGGTCGATGCATATATACAGGGTGTCCGTTCTAAGTGATACCACTATTGCTATCTCCGAAACGGTAGAAGATACGAGGTCGGTTAAATTAGAAAAAAGTTGCCTTTTTTGATGCCCATTCAAGATTCATTTACAGTGTTGCCAAATTCCTTCTAGTTTAGGAAATACAGGGATATTTCTAAGAAACGCCTAAAACTATTTCATCAATTATTTCGAAAACTATTGATTTTCGGGACACAATTTAAATTTGAAAGTTTTATAACTTTTGTCGCTTCACAACATGGCATCTTTAAATTTCAAATTTGACGTTTTGTGATCGAGCTACCATCATCAACTCATTTTTTCAAATACGGACCTGGATTTTTTACGTCATCTTTAGGAAGCGCACTTTAGGCCCAGTTGTACAATCTCGGTTCAAAATAAAGTTTAACTAAACTCGACTGGTACTTGAGCTTTCCCAT